TTTTTTTTTTTTTTTTTTTTTGAGATGGAGTCTTACTGTGTCCCTCAGGCGGAAGTGTAGTGGCATAATCTTGGCTAACTTCAACCTCCTCCTCCCGGCTTCAAGCAATTCTCCTGTCTCAGCCTCCTGAGTAGCTGGCACTACAGGTGGCTAATTTTTCGTAGTTTTAGTAGAGACAGGATTTCACCATGTTAGCCAGGATGGTCTAGATCTGACCTCGTGATCTGCCCGCCTCGGCCTCTCAGAGTGCTGGGATTACAGGCATGAGCCAACACTCCCAGCCTTTTCGCTTCGACTTTTCTTTTTCTTCAGGAATTTTTTTCCCACCTGTGTCCCCAGGCAGTTGCATCACCCTAGAGAGGTCAAAGTGGCCACAGCACCCTGAAATGCTCACTGGCTGACAGAAAAAGCACCCGCTGGATACTGAGTGAGTCGTCAAAGAAAATAAATTTTTCAACATGAGTAAATTCCCAAGAGCTAGCTACTTTCAGTGATCACTTGTGGAGATCCAAAGGCATATATTTTGATAAAGTTGATTTGCTTTAATATTTTTACTTTCCTTAAATTTTATAATGGATGTTTTCAAATTTTCAAACAAAAAATGAAAGGCCAGTAAAATTAAGCCCCTCCCATGTACCTATTACCCAGCTTCAATACTTATCAATATATGGCTAATTCTGTTAGGTTTACAACCCTCCTTCCCTCATCATTTTAAATCAAATGCAAATCATCATAATAACAATTTTTTTGAGTAAATGAACTTGTCAACAAGAAACCTTTTTTCCTCCACAATTTCGAGGTTTTTTTTTCTATTTTCCTTGGAAACTTCAAGGCTTCATTGTGTATAGGGTACAATGTGGGGTACTAAATTCAGTAGTGTAAGTAATAATGACTAGAATTAGAATAATAATAATGCTTTCTCAATCATGCAAGCGATTAAATACACCAATGATTTAGCCATAGTTAGCTTTGAAGCTATATTCCATTATTCACCTTTTTCTTTTTTTGTGTGAAAAGAAATATTTTCTCATGCACCAGAGTTAATTTTTTCAAGATTAATTACTGCATATGGATTTAAGCGTATCTTTAAAGTAAGCCTTTTGGAATTCTCAGCGTTAAATTTTCTTAAAAAAAATAGAAGAAAAAAAGAAAAAAGTAAGCCATGTACTTTGACTTGTTTTATAGAATCACAAGAAATATACATAAAATAAACAAAATAAATGTTTTTTGCTTTTTTTAAGACAGCGATTTTAACACATCTGATTAGTAAACAAACACCCTATAATAGCTAAAGCATATACAAAAAGTATGACTATAAAACATCTTTCACAGACTTTTCATTAAAAATAGCCATGTATGGGCTGATCGTGGTGGTTCACACTTGTAATCCCAGAGCTTTGGGAGGCTGAGGTGGGCGGATCACTTGAGGCCAAGAATCATGATGAAACCCTGCCCTGCCTGTACTATTAATACAAAAATTGGCCAGGTGTGGGGGTGCACGCCTGCAATCCCAACTATTCAGGAGGCTGAGACAGGAGAATCACTTGAACCCAGGAGGGGGAGGTTGCAGTGAGCCAAGATCAAACCACTGCACTCCAGCCTGGGTGACAGAGTGAGAATGTATCTCAAAAAAAAAAAAAAAAACGAAAAAAAAAAACCATGTAAGATTTCTCAGTATTTGCTGCCATTTTCAAAGTTAGGCATTATGTAGTTTTAGAGCTAGGATAACTTCTTCAGTTGAAAATCAACAAAATACAAAACCTAGATCAGCAAAAAAGCTGATTATATAACATTTATTTGCTTTCATTTTAGTACTCTTATCACACTGCTTTCTAGAATTTCAGTACTGAATGACTTGTAAAAATTTCCCCCCCAAATTTGTCCATCTAACATGGCTTATTCTAAAATGAAATATTTATTTATCAATGTATTGATAATTAGATTCAAGCCTTTAAAAATACACATAAAGTTTTAAAATCTTAATCTTTTAAATCTAAGTCTCAGGAAGTAAAAGATTTTTAATCTAGAATGAGAGACCCCTCAGAAATAAGGAAAAAAGTCTTTTCACTCTACATAGCCTCATCCAGATTAATATGGCTTTAAATAATCATTGTTTGAAAAGAGTTAGCATTTCACCTTTATGTATAGCTCTAGTGCTTCTAGCATTTAACCATTCATCACTATAAAATATCTACATAAATACTTTCAGAGAAATATATAGTTTTTTAGGAGTATGTCCAAGAAAAAAAGTTACAAGTGACTCCTGACTCAATTGAAAAAGAAAGGATTGAAGATTAACATAAAGACATGTCAACCGGGTGCGGTGGCTCATGCCTATAATTCCAGCACTTTGGGAGGCCGAGGTGGGTGGATCACGAGGTCAGGACTTCAACTCCAGAGCCTGTGCTGGCATCTGGAGCTGACTACCCCGCTGCAGCAGCCGATGTGCCTAACTGTGCACAGTGGCCAGACCCCCGCTTGCTCACTGCTCGGTGCCTGGCTTCGGTCTCTTCGGAGGCGTGGGATCCGGGCTGGTTGTGCAAGCCGAGCGCAGCCTGCCAGGCTGAGTGGGCAGAATGAGCCAACCAGGCCAGAGCAAAACTTGGGCAAAGGCATCACCGGCCACAGAGATTTACAGCTGGAAGAGCTGGAAGAGTATGTGGAGCCTACTTTTTAAAAATACCATATATCACAATGAATAGAATTCTAAATTTCTACATTTCTGTATTTAGAAATTTAGAATTCTATTCATTGTGATATATGGTATTTTGGGTTTTCTTTTGTTTTTTGTTTGTTTTTGTTTTGTTTTTAGATGGAGTCTCACTCTGCTGCCCAGGCTAGAGTGCAGTGGCACAATCTTGGCTCACCGTAACCTCTGCCTCTCGGTTCAAGTGATTCTCCTGCCTCAGACTCCTAAATTGCTGGGATTATAGGTGCGCACCACCTCACCCAGCTAATTTTTGTATTTTTAGTAGAGACAGGGTTTCACCACGTTGATCAGCCTGGTCTCGAACACCTGACCTTGTGATCCACCTGCCTCGGCCTCCCAAAGTTCTGGGATTACAAGCTGGGATTACAAAGTGAGCCATCGCACCCGGCCAATATATGGTATTTTTTAAAAGTAAAAATAGCCGGGCGCGGTGGCTCAAGCCTATAATCCCAGCACTTTGGGAGGCCGAGGCGGGTGGATCACGAGGTCAAGAGATCGAGACCATCCTGGTCAACGTGGTGAAACCCCGTCTCTACTAAAACTACAAAAAATTAGCTGGGCATGGTGGCGCGTGCCTGTAATCCCAGCTACTCAGGAGGCTGAGGTAGGAGAATTGCCTGAACCCAGGAAGCGGAGGTTGCGGTGAGCCGAGATCGCGCCATTGCACTCCAGCCTGGGTAACAAGAGCGAAAACTCCGTCTCAAAAAAAAAAAAAAGTAAAAATAATAATAAAAGTAAAAATAATCCTGAAATATTAGCACAGACATGCAAGGAATTGATATTTGGAAGGCAATGCAAAAAGTTTCTGTATCTAGGCCAGGTGCGGTGGCTCACACCTGTAATCTCAGCACTTTGGGAGGCCAAGGCAGGTGGATCACAAGGTCAGGAGTTCAAGACTAGACTGCCCAGCATGGTGAAACCCCGTCTCTACTAAAAATACAAAATTAGCTAGGCATGGTGGCACGCACTTGTAATCCCAGCTACTCGGGAGGCCAAGGCAGGAGAATTGCTTGAACCTGGCAGGCAGACGTTGCAGTGAATCGAAATCACACCACTGCACTTCAGCCTGGGTAACAGAGAGATACTTTGTCTCACAAAAAAAAAAAGAAAGAAAGAAAGAAAGAAAGAAAGAAAGAAAGAAAGAAAGAAAGAAAGAAAGAGAGAGAGAGAAAGAAAGAGAGAGAGAAAGAAAGAAAGAGAGAAAGAAAGAAAGAAGGAAGCTTTCTATCTCTGTTTGTATTACTTCTTACATTATCAATATATAAATAAGGCCGGACACGGTAGCCCATGCCTATAATCCCAACACTTTGGGAGGTTGAGGCAGGTGGATTACCTGAGGTCAGAAGTTGGAGATCAGCCTGGCCAAGATGGCGAAACCCCATCTCTACTAAAAAGACAAAAAATTAGCCTGGTGTGGTGGTGGGCACTTGTAATCCCAGCTACTTGGGAGGCAGAGGCAGGCGAATCACTTCAACCTGAAAGGTGGAAATTGCAAGTGAGCCAAGATCACGCAACTACATTCCAGCCTGGGTGATAGAGCAAGACTCCATCTCTTAAGTCTTTTAAAGGATCACACAGGAAGTGGGTGCCATAATTATGAAAGGAATTTCGTGGGGTTTTTTGTTTTGTTTTGTTTTGAGACAGGATCTCACTTTGTCACCCAGGCTGTAGTACAGTGGTACGATTTTGGGTCACTGCAGCCACAACCTCCTGGGATCCAACAATCCTCCTACCTTAGCCCCCTAAATAGTTAGGACTACAGGCACATCCCACCATACCTAGCTACTTTTTTGGTATTTTTTGCAGAAATGGGGTTTCACCATGTTGCCCAGGCTGGTCTCCATCTCTTGAGCTCAAGTGATCTGCCCACCTCGGCCTCCCAAAGTGCTGGGATTACAAACATGAGCCACCATGCTTGGCCAAATTTTGTTTTTCTCTATGTTAATTTCAGACTATGTCTGCGTGTTGTCAGTGAGGTGCAAAATTGAGATTACTAACTCAGGCTAGAAACTGTAATGCAAAGGGGAGGATTTTTTTTATTATTTATAAATGATTTTTACCCATATAAGTCACATTTGAATTAATGAGGATTACATATTCCTATGGCAGATTTTATTATGTAACATGTCAAAACATGTAATGTAGTGGGATAAAAATGGATCTTAGAATTCATCAGATTGGTGGCTAGGCACGGTGGCTCATGCCTGTAATCCCAGCACTTTGGGATGCTGAGGTAGATGGATCACCTGAGGTCAGGAGTTCAAGACCAGCCTGGCCAACATGGTGAAACCCTGTCTTTACTAAAAAAAAAAAAAAAAAAAATATATATATATATATATAATATATATATTTACATATTATTAATATATATTTTTATATATTTTTATATATTTTATATATATATAATATACACACACACACACACACACACACACACACACATTAGCTAGGCATGGTGGCACATGCCTGTAATCCCAGCTATTCAGGAGGCCGAGGCAGGAAAATCTCTTGAACTCAGGAGGTGAAGTTTGCAGTGAGCTGAGATCGAGCCACTGCGCACTCCAGCATGGGTGACAGAGCAAGGCTCAGTCTCAAAAACAAAAATTAAAAAGTTAAAGAATTCAACAGACCTGAGACTGAATACAAAAGATCCACTGCTTACTACCTCAGTGCAATTTAGTTACTTTATTTAAAAGAGGGATTTTTGTGAGGATTAGAGGTAATGCT